AAGGAGGTCCCAATGGAGCAGATCTTGCCCAAGCTCTTCACAAGAGTCGAGATGAAGACCATCCCATTCCCTGTGAAGGAGCAGAAAGAGCCAGTGGGCACAGCCAGGCCCGGCGAGAGGCAGCCTTACCAGGTCCCACTGCAGTCCTGTGGGAAGCCAGGCTTCAGTACTAGTAGGCAGCAGATACCCCACGGTGTACAGCCCTTTCCTCCCTTTGTGGGCCACGAGCTGTGGAATGCCACTGCTGACTTGCACCCCAGCCAGGAAGCCTTGGGCCAGGGAGCCCGCGAGCATATCCTCCAGGCCCTGATGCAGAGGCTCTCGAGGCAGAAGCTGGCCTCTCCCACCACACCGCCTTCCCAGCTTGCTCTCCCGCCTCCAGCTTTCCCAGTGGAAAGCAGCTCCACCAGCCAGAGCTTCATGCTGGGATTCATGGGGAGAAGGACATCCAGGCCTGCGATGTCTGGCCATTACCTCCTAAACGTTTCCACCTATGGCCGGGGCTCCGAGCACCTCAGAAGGAAACTTGCCATGCACCCAGAGAACCGCGCGTCCACAGACGGACCCAAAATGGAACTCGAAGAACAGGAGCAAGCGGCAGGAAGCAGCAGCAGCGGGGAAGACGGAGGAGACACAGACGGGGAAGGCACCGCTGACGAAGAGGAGTGTGTTGTGGTCAAGGAGGAACTGGTGACCCACGAGGGAAGGGGAGAGCGGGTGACCCCCCAAGCAAGCGCCATGAAGGCAGAGCAGGGAGCTGCAATCTGGAAGGTGCAGGATGCCCACCAGTTCTCGGCAAGCCAGGAATTTGCTGGAAGTGGTGTGGGAAGGGGTTTTGTTCAAGCAGCCCAGGAAAAGGCGACACAGAAAACAAGGGGGGAAACAAGACCTTGGAGCACGGATCTGCACATTGATGCCTCAGCAGACTCAACCCCGCCCCAACCCCTGCTCCTCTCTCCCTCGCCGCCTTCTCGGCTCTTTGGGAACCCTGCCGCTACACAGCTCATCGGCCCGGGCTACAGCGGCACCATCAACGTCTCCACCTCGCCAGACATGCACCAGGAGGCGCTCCTGACAGGGCTGTCCGACCCCAGCAGCATTGGGGATGTCGTGTCCTTCTCTGTGACCGTTACGACCATCCCCGCCGGCCAGTCGGCAAGCGCGGGAAGCCGTGGGCAGCCCCTCCCTGTCCAGGCCTTTTCTGACACTGGTGGCCTGGAGGAGCTGCCCGCCAAGTGTTACTGCCGTTTGAAAGCCATGATCATGTGCAAGGGCTGCGGGGCCTTTTGCCACGACGACTGCATCGGCCCCTCCAAACTCTGTGTCTCCTGCCTGGTGGTGCGGTAGCCGGGGTCCCGACTCGCATCACCCTCGCAGGACCAGCTGCTCACTCGGGTGTCCCGCCCAGCGCCTGCTTGCTTTCCGTTGAGAGCGAAGGCCTCTTGCACAGCCAGCTGAAATCTTGGGACGAGTGTTTGCACTTAAGGAATCATGTAAATAGGTTGCATCAATTTTTTTGTCTTAAAAAGTATATTTTTTTTTCTCGTTTCAGTCCTCTTCAGGTAAATCTATTGACTCATGTATCATTTAGTCCCCTCACCAGCTCTGGCTGGCAGAAGCAGGGCCTGGTCAGTCCCTCATCTCACAATCTGTCCGTTGGTGGGTGGCATACAGCTCACTGAGCCCCTCCCACTGGCTGATCCACGCCCCTGCCGTCCCTTTCCTCTCCTCTCCTACCGACAGGGTCCCTCGTGCCGTTTGTGGTGGCTGATGGTGTTCTGGTCCTGGCTGTCTGGTTTCTTTTACTGACTGCACTGTGTCCTAATGCAACGTAGCAGCTAAGACTTGTAGACTAGCAGCCCCAGACAGTTGCTGCATCACACAAATGGCTGCCCTGCTTTCACCCTGTTGGGATGGGAGTTGAATCACCATGAGGAGAGAGACAGGAAGCCCACATCAGTTCAGCAAGCTATAGCTGCCTGCTGAGCGCAGCCGGCGTCAGCTCAGATTTGTTAATTTTCCAAAGAACAACTGGCTAGCGATAGCCCATCATCCCACTTCTGCCATCACTTGCCCCCCCCCCCCCCCAAAGAGCAATGGAGGGCAGCCGCCTTTTAACTAAGCCAGATATGCAGTTCAGTTCCTTTTACCCACACTCTTTAACATTTCCTTTGTTCTTTGTGGAGCTAGATGCAGCAAGACTGCTGATGCTCCCATATTGAGTACTGTATGACAGGGTGGAAAACGAAAAAAAACAACACATTGGCTTCCTCCAGGCCAAATCCTGGTTCTTTGCCTGGTAAAGAAGTACCTGGGAATCACCCAGCTCTTCCTTAGAAGATTTTGCCACTAGGCATAGTCAGGGGCTGAGTAAATCCTGCATTTGTGCCCGTTCAGATTCTCGGGTGTGTTTGAAGAAAAGCACATGTCTGGCCCTTAAGACTCCATGGATTGGCACAAACTCTCAGAGGCACAAAGGAAAGAATTTCTGTGCTTTGGGATCTCCTTAGCAGAATATATTATAGGAGTTTGCTGCAATCTGCGTAATTTCTGCAGGTTTCCAAATTTCACTTTCCCCTGAGGCTTAATTTGGGAGTGTGGGGATTGGGGGGGGGGGGCAGGGAGGTAGCACAAGCATGACCCTGTGCTGCTGTGTGGCTGCTGAGGAGGGTGTTGTAAATGCACAACTGCACACAGCACTTTGAGGCATGCACCTTCTTCAAGTCACCTCAATTTCAGCAGCAGGAGAATCTGCATTAGATGAAGGGCTGTTTGCAAGGGCTCAAGTGTGTGGGGTGGAAGGGGTGGGGGAGGATGTCCCTGTGACAGGTATCAGCTGCTAGAGCTGGGTCAGAGGTAGGTCCACTGCCCTCCAAGGCATGTTATTAACTCTTTGCAATACCCTCTCAAATGGGAAAGCCAGCAAGCAGGCCCTGCCTTTGGAGTGAGCCGTTCACTTAGTGGGGGAGGGGCTGGGAGACCGAGCCTGTGTTTCCTTCAGGAGACCACAAGTTCTGGACCTTGCATTTAAAAAGGGACCTTGCAGGCACTCTCTTCGCCCTGAGATCCTGAGGAGCTGCTCCTACTCAGGCTAGATAGATCATGCTAATACTTTGTCTTGGTGCAAAGCATCTTCATACGAGACTTCACTTTTGACTGGCCTTCACAATATAAGTTGGTTGCATCCTCCATCAGATGCCTGATAGTCACCGCGGATGTTTGCACACGCACACAAACATAGAGAAGTGTTTGGAAGAGGGCCCAGCACTCCTTGGCCACAGTAGGAGCACATGCAATGAGACAGAGAAAGGTTTCCACAGAGCATCTCAGCAGGGGGTATTCTATGATTAACATGCACCTCTCTGTTCACACTGTCACCATGTAGGTTCCCAGGAATGGTGTATCTAGAGAGATGATTTTCTACATTGGTTGTAAGTCCCGGGTTGCTCACAAAAATAGAATTGTAAGCCAGGGAAAGGTTTCAGTTATCCAGTGTTTGGGAAGTGACCCTTAGCAGCAGCAAAGTTAGTGTTGTCATATCGGCTAAGAAGCAATGCACCCTTGGTTAGAACTCCCAGTGTTGTCTTAGTAACGGTGCCTCAATTGTTTTGTCCATATTTCTTTAAAGGTTAGCATATGAAGGGTTGGCTTTGCATTTTGCATCTCTAGCAAGAGCTGTTCATTAAGGACATCAGAAAAGCCTTGCTGGAGAAAGCCCAAAGGTCCATCTCATCCAGCATCTTAATGCCAGCCAGGTGCTGGCCAAATGCCCATAAAGCATGGAAGCAATAGCCCTCCCCTACCACCATCTAGTATCTGGTAGCTAAAGGAACACTGCTCCTAGATGTAAGTAGAGTCCAGTAGCACCTTAAAGACCAACAGAATTTACCAGGGTATAAACTTTCTTGAATCAAAATCCCTTTGTCAGATAACCATATCTGATAGAGTGAGTTTTGACTCATGAAAGCTCATACCCTGGAAAATTTGCCAGCCTTTAAGTTGCTACTAGGCTTGAATTCTGTTACACTGCCACAGACTGACGTAGCTTTTGTTCAGTCGCACAGTCGAATCCGACTCTGCAACCCCACAGACCATATCTGGCTACCCACCAGAAACTACTTCTAGGTGTGGAATTTTGATTAAACTATCTTCTGTGAATTTCTCTAATCTCCTCTAAAGCAGTGGTCACCATAATGCTTTTCAGTAGCAAATTGCACAGCTGAATTATGCATATAGTGTGAAGAAGGACATTAGTGTCTGTCTTGACACACACACACCCCGCCTCCCTAGTGTTGTGGCAGGGAGACATCCCACTTCTGTGTTATGTTACAAATCTTTATCATGTCTCTCTCCCCCCTCCCCTTATTCAGCTCTTTTTTTTCTGAACTAAAAAGCCCCAAATAGTTGAACCTTTCCTCGCTCTGTAGCATCAATGTACCAGACTTTGGTGGGGGAGGGAGGGTTTGCCTAATACTGAATTATTTGGGGGACATGGTCCCTTATGTCTGGTTTCAGTGTAATGCTATGAGTCAAATTCTAGACAACTCTTGGCTCTTTCTCTAAGGATCATTCCACTCATCCTGCAGGAGAAATATTACATCTGTATCGGCCATTGCATATCTTTCTCCCCAACCCCCGGGACTGAGCAGCAGAAGTCTTCTTTTCTGATAGTGTCTCTTACCCAGTTCCCGAGGTTCTCTCACAGGGGTCCCACCAAGAAATGGAACTCGGGTGAGTTTATGCAGGTCAAAGGCTACTGTCTCTCATTAAGTTCTGTGGGCCACAATTGAGATGTGAGCAAAGATGGCTTTCAGCAATGGCAGCTTTGCTTCCAGTGCCAATAAATTTGTGAGTGCTCCATTTTAGTAGTGGGTAGTTGCCATCTGGTGCATCCGCATTGCAATAGGGGTAAGATTCTCCATACCCAGCAGTGAGTGGGTGAGCCTCTAGCAAGCAAGAATGCTCTCTGTCCCTAAGCAAAGAGCGCACCCACCCACCCCACCAGGCTTGCCCATCATAATGGTGGGTCTGTAACTAGTAATAATACAAAACAGATTGCAACCAGGAAAAAAAACACACACCTTGTTTCCCTGGTCTTCTGAGGGCTTACTTGGACAAAGCGGCCATGTAGCTGGTTTTTTAAGCTGCTTATGGCCACCAGTTGTCTATTAGCACTCAAGATAAACTGCATAAGAAAGCATGTGAGTGGTTTGCTCCTCAGTCAGTTTAGCATACTCTTATAGGTTGCATCAGCACAGCGGAGTGTTTGCACAGCAGTTTGCACTGATCCTGCAGAACCAGGGTCTCTCCTGTCTTCGCTCTGGCAGGTCTCCCACAGGCAAAAGGCAAACCATCTTCAGCCTCTTGTGGCATTAAAAAAATAGCTGCTGCTTTTACCCTCCCCTTTATCCCTACATTTGCAGCTGCTAGTGATTCCTTCAGATTACACACACTGCCTTGATGGCTGTTACTGTGGTGACCAGTAGAGGAGTTGGACAGGTTGGCTGAAGAACCTTTCATGCATCTCATGAACCACTCACTTTGGTTGAGCCCAAGAGCCCTAGGCAGAAAGTCTAAATGGCACCCAAGCACCCCCTCCCATTAATTAGCCTGGAGTGCAGTCTTCTGGGAAGTTCGCTTGTGCAGACCTCATTGATCTGAATGGAGCCTGCACAAGAGCTCTTGTAGAACCTTCTGTTTGTTTATACTCCATAGTTCATATCTGTCTGTCTCTTGCTCTGCTGCCCAGGATAACACCCCAAATACTCCGTGTGAGACAGCTGAGATAGCCGCCTCATTGCCTAAACCACCTCTCTCATACATACCCATGTACACACACCTCAGAATCAGGAAAGCCCTTGTACCAAGCAGGAGCATCAGGTAGTTTTCGATAATTCTTTGTGAAGTACATATTTAACCATTTCTGAATTTCCAAAGAGGCTGTAGCTAGGGATTCAGGTGGGAGACTATTGAGCTGAGTAGCCTCCTTGGCAAACTGAATGCCAAGTAGGGCAAGATGGCGCAATCTGCGAGAATGTTTTTTCCCACCAGGAAGAATGGCATTCCGCTGGGATCAGAGGTAACAAGCTATATGTTGGGGCAGATAAGTGTCTCTCCAGTATTTGATATTCAAGGGATTCTGGGCTTGATCCTACCCAGCTTGGCAGGCAGTTACCCCTTTGTGGTGGCTGTTTAAATTGCACTACAGGAGGCTGGCTCACTATAGCAAGCGTTGCCTTCAGTTTCACCTTGTGGCCATGTAATGTAAACTATGAGCCCTCTTGGGACAGGGAAGTGTACCTCTTATGAATTATTGTGGTGACAGGCTAGATTTCAAAATGGAGACAGTTGCCTCATCTGTGTTCATGGTCTCATTAATTTCAGTGGAGGAAGCACATGGGCATGGGCAGAGGATAATGTGTGGGTCTCTCCATTGATGCCTAGAAGTCCACATCGGCCCTGAAACTGTTACCCATGTAAGATGATTTCGGACCAGAAAAACCACAGTACCCAGGAACACAGCAAAGCTCCACGTTTGAACCCTGATGCCCATAAACATTTCCCATTTCTGGCATTCTAATCTGGTTGCCACGAGTCTGGATGCATCCAATTCCATGGCCTGCAGAAGCCCTGAGACATTCCTTAGGGCAACGTCCTGGCATTGCGTTTTGGGTACAAACTGCAGAACTGCTTTCCAGGCTCCCTTGGTGGCCCATTTATTTTGACATAGTACCAAACTTGAACGCTCATGCTTGGCAATACGTTTAATCTGGAACTGACATTGCTTGTAAAAAGTAAACCAGCTCAAGAAATGTAAAGTGTGCCCATGTGGCCATTTTCCTTTCTCTGGTTTCATTGCTTTTGTACAAAAGCAGAAGAGTGAGAAGTCAGATTAGCTGGGTTTCTCCCAAAAGCAGGCGCTGCCTGTCTTTGGACAAAAGCATGGCAAGCGGTAAGTGGTCTCCATAATCCATGCTGGACCTGTGTCTGAGATGTGGGCAGGTGAGGGGCCAGTGTGAGATGAAGTTGCTGCTGCTTGTAGACCTCAGGAGACATCAGGTGCACCTTGGTCTCTCTAAAGAATTGGTCTCGGAGACCAGTTTTGAAAATCGGAGTGTGGGTAGGAAGGCTGAAAATGTGTCCTCTGT